CATTCCTGGGTGTGTTTGGCAGTTTCAGTAAGTGTTGTTTTCCCTTGCAGTTTTACTGACCCTGATGGCTGCAGGCATTCTTACTTATCTGTGCAAACTCTCAAATAGGAACATATCACATGCCTCTGTGTGTGTAAAGAGGAAGGTATTTGCACTGAAATATTTGAAATATGTTTCAAAGATCAGCAAGGTTCAGCCAACTCTTTCAGTAGGTTATTGCCAGGCACTGCGGGAGCTGGGTTTAGAAATAGATTTTGCCTTGCTCTGTTAACTTGTAAGTTGTGCAGTGTGTCTTGAGGACAGGGCTCCTGGCCCACAATCTGCTGTGTGGCCCCAAAGAGAAGGTGGAAGGAGACACCTGTGAGATTCAAGTCACATATCCCACAATGCCAGTGCCAGTTCACCGATCCCCCCAAAATAGCAGCTGATTCTTCTTGGGGACATAGTATGTTTAAGAGGCTGCTAGCTATAGGCAGCATCACAGCAAAGGGAAAGGGAATTGTAGCCTTTTCTCTTTCAGAGTGATGGAAGCCAGAAAGTGTTATGATGACAAGCTCCACAATATTAATAAATATTCTCTTCCAATGCCCTGTTGTTGTGCTAGCTCCTAATCTGTCACCATGGCCCTTTGTCACGCCAGCAAAACTTGTACATACTGCTGACACTTTGCAATTCAACCATTTGCAGTGCACTTACTTTTTCCTTGTTATCCATGGTGATGGCGATCTGCATCCGTCTCCCCCGGCGGAAGGCCACCAAGTGATTCGTCTCTTCTTCACTCAGGTCTGGCACCCTGCTCGGGCCAGTGAAGCACTCGGCGCGTTTCTCGCTGACAATCCGCTTGCCCTGGAAAGGACAGAATGAGCTTAACAACACCCCTGCTAGCCCTATGCAATACCCTCTGTAGGACAGTGGCCAGCAAATTGCAAAGGATTTTGGACCAGCAGAACAAAAATATGGGCCAGAGAGATAGTCAGGCTTCTTGGCTGGTAAAGCCACCCTGGATAGTTTAAGGTTAATATAAAATTACATAGACAAGGTTAACTGACTGCATACCAGTAGGTAGTATAGTATTTCCCCTGCTCGGATGCTTTGCAGCATCTGAGAACTGAATGACGTTTTATTTTAGGTAAGTGAACCACCTTGCGTTTGTGTCTTTTGACGCAAATACAATGTTGCGCTCTCAGCAAACAATGTGTCCCGATAATAGGTAAGGCTACATTGGAGCATAAACCTAGTAGGTGAAAGAGACAGGAAGGGCCTTGCACACAAACCATTTTCTACCCTGAAGTGTATTAACACTTGATAATTTACGGTCTTCATAATCATTGTGCGTCACATTTCTGGAATGATTTATTCAGCAGTGGAATAGTTTAGAAAGCTGATATATAAACTCCTTGAACAAGGGCAGTTTACCACTGTCAGATATTATTTCCAGCTGTCTGTATCAGTTCATGTCTTTACTGCATCTATTTACATCTGGTTCTTATTTTGCTAATTATTTTTGTAGCTGGCTGAGCTCCTGCCAGTGCCCTCAGCCATCAGTTCCACAAAATGAGTACATCTTTTGTGCAAAAATACTTACTTTTTCTCATGTAAAAGTATCATCTTTCAGTTCCATCATGAGCCTTTTTGTTCTTGCCTTACAAGGGAATGAGAAACTTTATAAGTCATCTCAATCTTTACTCTGATCTTTTTCTCCTCTATTCATCTGTGTGACTCCTCAGCTCATCTTTATCAGCGATGAGCAAATCTCAGAAGTTTCCCTCTCTAGAGGATGGTGCATTTTCTCCTGTTTTTCCCCCAGGATCGCCACATATATCGGAGTTTTGATTTCAAAGGAGCTCAAAATCTCCAAGTAAACTTCAGTGAAAATAGGGAACTCTTCATAGCTACCAACTTGGTTTCAAAAACAAACACCCCACACTGAACTCAGATTTGTGTGGCAGTCTTGCAAGCATCAGTGAATTTGCCATGACTTATGACATCAAGACGGCTTGCATTAGCCTCATCGTCACTTGGCTCTTCCAGAAGTGCAGATGTTGGCATCGAGGGAGCCTTAGTGCAGACAGCCTCCGTCAGCAAGACTTTTTTTATCACTTGTCCAGTCATCGAGCTTCCTAACACATGATAAATGTTTTAGGAGGTAGTGGAGTATTTCCAGCATTAGACCTACAGTCTCTTGTTTATTCTGGTTTCACATCTGCATAATTTTGCTGTCTCAGCAGAGATTGTTCTTGAGTTGCTGTGGAGCATGTGAGAGGAGTGGTGGGTCCCTGCGCTGCTGTTGGTTCCGTCATTCAGAGCTGTGTGGACATGGTGGGAATTTTTTTATAAACTGCTTTGGGTATGTACAGCTCTGGTTTCAGGTTTCAGCTGTAGCTTCTAATAAGTTTTGTTGCCCTTATTGAACCTTTGCTATTTCTGCTGCTCTTGAAATAAGTGAAGCCACATGTTGCATTCAAAGTAAGGATTTGCTGCCAATCTGTTTAATGCCATTCTAGTACTTTCTGTGTTTTTCTTTGTTTGTGTCAATGCAGCCTCCTACTTTGACTGCTGCTGTGGACTGAGTAGACAGCTTCTGTGAGCCATCCCCAAAGACGTGAAGATCCTTTTCATGCGAGAGTAAAAGTTGATAGTCAAGAGAATAAGAAATTACCTTAATATGAAGTAAAACTGGCTTCTACTATAGCCAGATATTTAGCTGCACTTTTACCTGCAGACAGGATATATGTCCTGGAGAAGTCCCCATACCAATAAACTGTGTGAGCTGTTTTAAAGGTTTTAGTCTACGTATCTATCTTGAGAAGGACGTGATTTTATTAGAGCTGGGGCAGAGCCAAAACGTTCTAAATTAGTTAGTCTAAATGAATCTAAACTGCTCTGAAAGTGTAGCTATCAAATCCAGCATTTACCTTCCATCCATTAACAGGGCATGCTATACTGTCCTTAATAATACATCTCACTGTGGTCACAAAATCGAAAGCGGTTGCATTATTGCAGCTTAATAAATCACTGCCTGATTACTAAATCAAAGTAAGAACTGGCTGACGATGCAAAGGTTGATGGCAGCCTTGGCTCCAGTGACCAGGAGCTGGTGGATTTTAGGATCCTGAGAGCTGTGAGAAAGACAAGCAACAGACTAGAGACTAGGGGCTTCAGGAGAGAATATTTTGGCTTGTTCAGGGACCTAGTAGACAGAATCCCACAAGAAGCCATCTTGAAGGGCAAAGGAGCCCAGGGACCTCATTGATCTTCACATGGACAACCCCCTCAAAGCACAAGAATGGTTCTTACTGCTATGCAAGAAAATGAGCAGGTGTGGAAGGAGGCCAGCTTGTCTGAGCTCTGGACAGGGAGCTGCTGGCTGAACTAAATACAAAAAGGGAGTATATGAATGGTGGAAACGGATAGACTACCAAGGAAGAACATAGAAGCATCACCTGGGTGTGCAGGGATGGAGTTAGGAAAGCAAGAGCTCAGCTGGAGTTGAAACTGGTGAGAGGTGTGAAGATCAGCAAGAAGAACTTCTAATAGGTACATCAGCAGCACAAGGAAGTCCTTGATCTACTGGCAGAGTCTGGGTAATGCTTCACTCTCTCACAGTCCTGCAAGATTGAGTTAGAGATCATTTCAATGCAGTAAGGAGATGGGGCTCACCAGGCTGCATCTGAGGCTGCTGAGGATGCTAGCTGACATTTGAGGCCACACTCTATCTACTGCCTAGCATCTTCATCACTGACTGGAGTGATAGGACAGATTACACCTTCATCAAGCTTACAAGCGACACCAAACTGAGGGGAGTGGCTGATATTCTGGAGGGGTGGTCCTGCCGTTCAGAGGGACGTTCACAAGGCAGAGGAAGTTCAACAAAAACAAATACCAAGTCCTGCACCTGGGACAAAAGAATCCCATGCATCCATATGGGCAGGGGATTGACCCACTCAGGAGCAGCTCTCTAGAAAAGTATTTTGGGAGTCTGATAGGCAACAATTTCAACATGAGTAAGTGCTGCACCTTAGCAGACAGGAAGGCTAGTCACTCACTTTGCTGTATTTAGCATGAGGGTAGCCGTTAGGTTGATGAAAGTTAATTTCCCCCCTCTCTTTGGGCTATAGTTGAAATATTGTGTCTAGTTCTCCTCCACTCCAATATGAGAGAGGTGTTGACAAATTAGGAGGAGTCTAATGGACGGCCACCAAGATGGTCAGGCAGCTGGAGCACAGGATGCATGAGGAGAGGCTGCATTTGTTAAAACTCACAAAGAGAAGGCTAAGAGAGGACCTAATTGCAGTCTTCCTCCACCCTAAGGGGGTTTATAAAGAAGACAGAGCTTCATTCTTCTTAGAGGTGCACTGCGAAAGGCCAAGAGGTAATGGACACAAGTTGCCACAAGGGAGAGGATGACAAAATTGAGGTAGTCAGACACTTAAAAACAGGTACCCAGAAAGCCTGTGAAATCTCCATCACTGGAGATTTTCAGAACTTGACTCAATGCTGACCTGAGATAACTTGGAAGTCAGCCCTGCTCTGAGCTGAGGGGTTGGACTAGATGATCTCCAGAGGTCCCATCCCACCTCAGTTATTTTATGATTCTATAGCTGTGACCAAGGTCTCAGACTGCCTCTACTTTGAAGTAAAACCCACTGGCTTAGACCACCATGTCATCACTATATACTTTACTAGATTAGGAGACTGCATCGTTACTGCAGCTCAGCTGATGAGTGGTAACCTCCTAACCTGCAGTAAGTAACCCAAATGCATTTGCTTGTATCACCACCTTGTAAAGGATTGAGGTGGATGCTAAGAATCTTCTCCTTCAGCTAAATTGCTGAAGGCCTAGGTTTTCAAAACAGAAGGTGTAGCCACCTGGGGTATCAGCTTTCTGTCTATAAACCCACATGCCTGTGTGCAGATGTGTGCAACTACACGGATTTAGTGAATTTGCCTGATTTCTGCAGCCTCTAGCCTTTATACAATAAAGACTAGGTAGTACAGATCAGAATTCAGGATCAGTCAGCCACAGAGCTCAGAGGTACTTAGGTCTTGACTTCCAACTGCCACCTGCTTCTGAATTACTAAAACATAGAATGTCCAAAGGTAATATATTTCCCTAGCCAGAACTATTGGCAAATCCGAACACAGGATGCTATAAAACTAAAATAATATTTTGAAATTCGGTTTATTTTCTACCATTCATGTATCCCATTTCTAAATTTCACCAAAATTGGAGACTGGAATTAGAATGGTCAGCATGGGATTCCTGTTTGCAGTCAAAGAAACCAGTGTGGATTTTCTTTATGCCGGTGCCAATCCATTAATGGATGTGGGTGGGAGAAAAATTAACCTTTCGCATAGACTATCTTGGTCTCTTATTTCAGACCAAGGCACTGGGCTGGATAGTTCTAAGCTGCAGATCTCTCCTGCATCCCCTTTGGGTTCAGTGGGAATGTCTGTGGCCACAAGGGGAAATCTGTGGTCTCATTTGTGTTGGCAGTTATGGAGAGAGGGTCCAGTAGCTCAGAAACACAGCGTTAACATGATCACTTTAGGAAGTTACTGTGTAACAGCATTAACGCCTGTGCTCTTAACTTATGACAAATGCAGGAAGATGCAGCTTAATATGGCTCTTTCTTTACAGACAGTGTAAATGGGCACATCAACATACAGTAACTTGCAAAGATGTACTAAGCAGAGCACATGTCTTCCAGATATGCAAACATCCATTTCTCATTGCAATGAAAAGGGAGTGAAAAATCCAAACCTTGTCAGCAGCTTTGAAAACCTGAGCCTCATCTATTTAAACTTTCTCCCACAGCTGGTAAGGATGAAGTAGTGAGCCTCATTGGATCTGTGACATAACCCCAGCAATGCCAGTGGAGTCACAACAGGGACAAACACGGCCACCCTGTTTTGAAATAGATGGAGGCAAGATTGCACCTCTCACCTTTCCCTCCCCATATCAGAGTCTCCTCTTTTAAAAACCTGTTCCACGCTCATGTTTTTTTTTAGGAGGAGGCTTTTGTGAAGCAATCGCCAGAATCTCCTTCCTTTCCCCAGCATCTGCCTCCCAGGCAGCGACTCTCTGGCCGAGGAGGTCACTTACTGCCAACAAATCTGCAACCCAAGCAAGGCATCGTTCTTTCTTCATCATGCAAACAGCCCCTACAAAGGAGGATATTCTGCCACCATCAGAGCAAAGCTCTTGGGAACCACGGGGATGATGCTCTCAAATTCAACCCTCTGTACAGGGCCAGTCTTGCATGACTGGAATATATTTTGGGAAGAGCTGAGAGCTGCTGACATCCTCCGAAGGCAGCTGGACACATTATGCCTTGCAGAGTAGGCTCTTAACTATTTACTGTCCTGTCTCCCTGCTATGTTTCTAGAATGATTCAGAGGCTGAAAATATGGGCTGACTTTACTTTCGAACCACTGAATCACCAGAGCCTGGTGGTTACTTTGGTGCTGAAGCTGTGCATCACCTTTGTTCTTCAATGGTTATTATTCTCAGGAAACGTCTTTGCTCCAGGGTAATCCTGAGTTTCCTGAGATATCCAAGGTAATGCAATTTGGCTCTTTTAAACCCTGGGCAGGTATGCACAATAATACTAGTACTGATGAGGTTAATAAATGAATGGGAGAGTTGGGCTGCCCTGCCCTAAACAAAGCACCAACATAAGGTGGTTGGCATCCTTGTTAATTTTTTTTATTAGTTACAAAGTAAATCCAGTCACGGCTTGGGATAGTAGCAAGCTATTAATCCATAACTTCTACATCAAATATTAATTCTAGCTTAAGTCAATAGCTGCTCCCTAGAGCTCTTTACCGGTTTGTGTTTAGGCAGTGACAGCCTGTCCTTTAGACAAATAACATCGCCATGAATGACTCTTGCCAGGGAGGCCCAGTGCTGGGAGGATATATTTGGAAGATGGCTTCATTGCTTACTATCTGAGACAGTCCTTCCTGAGGAAAAACATGGGCTCAGAGTGCAAGTGACAGCAAAGCTGCTCCCTGCAGACGGTCAAAGATGCCTGAAAACCAGCATGGAGGACTTCATATCCAAATGCCATGAGCAGGACTAAAGCCCCAAAGTGCATGACCAGATTCACAGGGAGGCAGCATGTATCTAGGGCCATTAGACATTAAAAGTCCCATATTGCTTCTGGCTAAGATGAGTCACCTGAAGGCACATTCTGCTTAACTTGCTGACACCGATCTTCCTCTGCTCCTATAATACTTTAAGAATATCATTGATTTCCTAGATCGCTCATCCCACTTCAGGAAAGCCTGGCCCTCAGTGGGCTGGCTCCAAAGCAAAGGCTGTCAGGCGGGAAGAACGTCCCTGCAGAGCCAGGGGCAGACAGCCTGGCTCAAACAGTGGCCAGTGACTCACAGAGCCCCCTTTCCCCCTCCAGCCGGCCTTTCCCCACCTTTGCATCACCCGCCCATGCATGAGACTGGAGGCCCTAACATTAGCTATTTAGCTGCAGTCAGACAAAACCACACCGCTTCCTTTGGAGCAGCTCACTGAGAAACTGTAAATTGAGCTTCGCCTGTCTTATTTCTGAGGCATGTCCCAGACTGCAAACATAGTGTGAAAAAAATGCCCATCTGAGAAGGACTGCCAAATGAAAAAAAAAAAAAAAAAAACACTTGGGGAACAAAGCAAAACCCTGAACATTTGGCCAGCTTAGGCCACTCTCCAGCTGCCTTTCCTTTGGGGCTTCTCCCTTTATATTGATTTGCGATATTTAGATTTGAATGTACATGGTCTTCCCCCCTGCCCCGCTACTCCGCTGCTTGAACCCAGCAACAGCCAAAAGAGGTATGGTGATAAGACAAGGGAAATAGTCCTGTTAGTCATCCCAGTGTCACTGAGCAAGTCTCTCCAGGTGGTCCTTGCTCACTAGGATGCTGAAGCAGAAAATTATCTACCCTCTCTTTCGTCTTCAGCAGCCCAGAAGAAGCTTTAACAGGGCAGTAGCAGCCAATAAGCTCGTACTTGACATGCTCTCAAACACAATTTTGCCCCAAATCTTAACATTTTATCCTTCTTACTCATTAGAGTCACATGCCCATCCATTGAAAGTACTATATTTAAAGGAAGGTTCTGGACTGATGCCACTGGAACATCCACCAATAAATCAGTTTTCTTCCATCATCAAGTCAGGCTGCTGGCCTGTGCTTTACACTAACACTTGGGAGACCTCGAGGGGGTTGCTAGGACCTGCAATAGGTGGCTAATGTCAGCAAAGTCATATATACCTTACAACAGGGAACTTGGGGGAAATTTCCACAGAGGTCTGCATTTCCAGCAGAAAACACTCAGAGGTCTATTAATTGGACAAATTGAAAAACATTGGCGCAGAGCATAAGGCAACAACGTGATTTAGCTGCCAGGGCTCGGTGCTAATGCAAGTTCCCGTGTAGGACTTGAATTCTCAGCTATAGATTATGGAAAGGGCTCCAGGGTACCCGGCCTGTCTGTGAGAGCAACTCACACCGCAAGCATAATTGCTTCAAGTATAAGTCCGCCATGCAGAGCTACGCAGCCACGAGAAACCTGTAAGGGGAATTGCAACTATCTATCTCATCGATAAATGAAAGGAGGATGGGTAGATTTCTATGTAGGTACTCGCTATTCTAAGAAAAGCAGCATTTTTTTTCTTCTGTGGCGGGAGGCGGCTCAGTTGGGCTGGAATGTGTTTTCATTTGATGGGGGCGTTTGTGCTACTGGTAGTATATCTGGAATGAAGGAAATGAGAGGCGTCAGTCCCTTTCTCTTGAAAAAGAATTCTGAAAGGTGCATTACTTCCTAAATGATTCAGTTGCTTCAAGGTAACATTTAATGGCTGTATAATGGTGCAGTGATTGTGCTCTATTTCTTCACAGGAGAAAGAAAAAAAGGTAACTAGGTCAGGGAGAAACAGCCGTGAAAGGCTATTTAAGGTACAAAATCAGAAAAATATTTCTAGGCTGCCTCAGAGTGAGAAACGGCACCCTGCCTTTCGTTCACAGACAAGCTTTTCAGCACTCCTACCCCAAAGCACTAGGGTAGCAGGAAAAGTGGGGTTTTGCTTCATCAGCCTGGGAAATGTCTTTGACTTGGACCTAAAATCAGAAAAAGCTCTTCTAATTTTGTGGGCCGAGCATGTTGCTGTGCCAGAGCCAATAGGGGTCCTGAGGGGAGCTCGATTTGCTGCCGCTGCGCCCAGCTTTCCATCTCTTCCGCATTGGCACAGTCAGCACAAGGGGGGGCTGTGCTCCCCTGCGCCTTGTGCCTCCAGTTGTCTAACTGGTGTCTCACCAGTATTAACCAATAAACAGATATTATTGCCTCTCGTATTCATCTGGAACTGATTAAATGGCAGGCAGAAATGACCCCTGCAATAATACTGCCCTCGAGAGACTCACTAACTAGAAAGCTTCACTGAGTTGCCCTACAGGCGCCTCTTCACATGCAGGTGTTATGTTTTTCGAAAGAAGATGGCATCTCTGATCCTCGCTCCTATTCGTCTCAGTGGCAAAACTCACTAATTCCAGTGAGAATAAGAATGGTCCCCTGGGATATACTGGAGGTGAAGCATCCAGGAGCATAAAGCTCATACTGGCATATACTTCTTTGGCTGTATCTCTAGAAATACCAGCTAAACTTTTATTGAATCCTGCCTGGCAAATAAATCCTGACATGTAGATGCTGTCATTAGCTGTCAAATGAGCAATGTCTTTGCTCATTACAGCTAGATGCACAGACTCCATGAGGGATAAGGGTAGTGCCCGGTAGTGATGTTCTGGGATTTAAAAAATGAAGAAGTAGCATTTTCAATTATTTTTGCCATTTCTTGCATGTTTTAATTAAGCCTGAATATAATAGGTCTGCTCTGGCATTTGTTGCCCAACACGTTGTGCACTGCAGCAGATATCCATGTCACTCTAATTTTTATTTTGTGTTTTGGACTTCCTGGAATAGAGTGATTCTGGTTCCTCACCAGGGAGAAATGATGCTGTTTTTACAAGCCAAATGTAACTTCCTCCCTGGGAATAGCTGGGGAGTAATGCAGCTAAATCTGTCTGAGCTCCTACTGATTTCCTTCCCCTTTCCAGGCTCAGAGACACAGTTTTATAAATCCATTGGTGGTCCAAAGGGGCCTGATCTTACAGAAAGGGAACTAGCTCAACGTGGCTGGCCGGAGCTGCTGGGAGGTGTAGCAAGGCGTGGGGGCCAATTCCTACGAATGAAATGTAGAAAGGAAAATGCAATGCATGGCAACCCAAGATGGAGCCCAGGGATACGCTGAAGAATGACAAAACCAGTGAGAAACGGAGCAGGAAGGGGACAGTCCCTTAGGGGAGACAAGACTTCTGGAAACATGCTGAGCCGAAAGCTGAAGTGAAGCCCTCTTTGCAAGACAGAGGCCTCAGTGTAAGAGGAACCTTCTTGCCCACTCACCTTGGCTTTGTTGTCCATGGTAACAGCCAGCTGCATCCTCTTGCCCATCCTGAATGTGAACATATGATCTGCTTCCTCCTCCTCCTCCTCTTCCTCGCTGCCAATGTCAAACCCAGGGCTCGTAGGACAGGGGTTCCCCCATTTCTCGCTCACCACCCTTTTGTCCTGGAAAATGAAGCCCTGGTGTTAGCAAATCCAGGTCCCTTGGCTCATTTCCCTTCCCCAAACATCCCTGAACATGAGCAGGGGAGGGCAGCTACAGAAAGGGCAGGCCTTGCCTCGAGGAAGCTTTCTGCGCACGGCGCAGTGCCCTGACATTCCTGCAGAACAAGGGGCTCTTTGTCTGCTCAGCAGCGAAACTCACAATTACAGTAGGTCTGGAAAATCCTTTGCACTTGCAAATCTGACATTTCAGGCTAAAATGTCAGGGTCTGGGGAAATAAATATCATCATCATCTTCTTCTGCAGCACTCTAAGTTAGCATGGGAAAGCCTAAGTCCTGGTGGAGATTGCCTGGGAAGCCAAGGAGATGGCTCCTGAGGATCGTGCTCACCATCGAGAGGGCTGGGCTATCTTGTCCATAGTGTTCAGTCTGGGTAATTGCATCTTTCAGGTCCTGTATGAGAGAAAAACGTGTGCAACAGCGCACCTCCAGAGAAAAGTACGGGCCAGTGCGTGGCTAAGTGGGCAATGCACCAGCCTGGGTCTAACGGTCAGCAGTGCCGTCTCTGCGTGGAAGAAGGGGGAGCTGGCCCAGCCAGCACTGTGCTCATTCTGGCCTGGGGCTTCACCCAGGGGTTCAAGCAGCACTGGTCTGGTGATTTAGCAGGACTGGTCTGGTGATTTATCAGGTCTCGCACTGCCGGGAGGGGTGGATGGGGTATGAATCCCCTCCCCTCTGATCCTGCTGTGCATGAATGGGGAGGCTTGTGAGATACAGATGTGATTAAGCCCCTTTTCCCACGCAGTTGGGAAGGGATCGTCAGTTAATCGGGACTTGCAGCATTTGCCCTGCTTGTAGGAAACCCCAAAGCGACCAAGGGCTACTTGCTCTGCTCATTCACAGAGCCTAAAGAGACCATGACTTTGCCTGGCCTACAGGAACCTCAAAGGCATTCCTTATGCCCCCAACGGCACGGATACAGCTGATGCATTCTGCCTACATATTTGCAGTGATGTTTGCGCCTGGGGCCCATCCAGGACCACATGTGTCTATTCATTTACCTGCCTGTTCATACTGTGTGCTTGGGGCATAGGTGCCTGGGCATGGCTGGAAACTTGTTTGTGTGGATCAGCTAACATCAGTCTGGGCACACACCTCTGCAGAGCTTTTATATCCTTCTGGGAGGGTTTGGGAGCTATGTCCAGCGCAGCAAAGGGCTTTGCTGTGGGGGCTAACGCCACTAGAGATGCTGTTTTGAACTTGCTGGGGTAGGACTCAAGTGAGAGGTGGCTGGTAGTGAAGGAGAGGCAGCACTTACGTTGTGAGCCTTGGTGATGGTAATAGTGAGCCCATCTTGCTTGGGTCTCCTGGAGGTAACAGCCATTCCCTCCTGCTCAGCTCGTTTTTTGTCCTCCTCTATTTCCTGAAACAGATATGTCCTTATCGTCAGATCCTAGGAGCAAAGGGCTGAAGGGTCTGGGTTTAAATTAAGCCATCTTAGCAAGAGGCAGCCCTTGAGCTCTGCAGGAACCCAGGTATGGACACATACACGCACCAGAGCCAACAGCAGAAGCCACCAAAACACAAACCAGCGGACTTTGGTGCTCACCAGTGCTCAGCCAATACTTGGCTATCTACAGACATTGTTCACATTCCTGTTTAGGCTTTGTCCTGGAGAATGCATAGACCTACCTCCATGTCTGAAAGACAGAGCAATGACTCATGTCCTATCACTGTGCCCTGGAAGAGGTTGTGTTTCCAGACAGCTGGGACCTGCCTCACTCATCCCTGTGTCACAGGCATCTTAGCACATCTCAGGGTGCCGTTGTCTCAGCATACGCAATGGGAAGTAAGAACAGAGTATGGGGGTCCTTTCCTGAGGGGCAGGGAGCATGACAGATTTGAGGTTTGGGAAAGATTGGGATGGGGCATGTGAAGAGGCTGGGAAACACACCAGACCTGCAGAAAGGGAGGGCCATGCTCAAGAGCCACAGTCCCTGTCATTGGTCTGGGGCTGAAGCACCATCCCTGGCTAAGGAAAGGTGGCTTCGATCTGAATATCTACTAGACAGCTTCTTCTAGAAGCCAAGCGCTAGCAGCAGGTGGGTAGCATTTCATATAAGGGTGTGAGTTCCTTGCCCCTGACTGCTTGTGCCATTCAACCCTTCCCATAGCTTTCCATTAGGCACCAGTTTTTTTGCAGCCACCAGAAAAGGTAAGGTTCAACATGGCTCTTTAGTTATCATAGGAAATGTCTTCTAGCACAGTGCCACTCATTTTTTCAGCACTGCATCCAAACTGCAAAGTGTGTTCTGGGTTTTCAGCACAGCTCTTTGCCAAACTCCAGACTGCCTCCTCAGTGGGCAAATGTCTGACAGCCCCCAAAGCCATGACCTCAGGCATGGATAGGAGAATATCGTAGACAGGTCAAAGGGGACCTTCTGCCAGGATTATCTTCACGCTGTCCTACAGAGCACTCTGTGCTGCCTTGTGCAGACACATGAAGAAGGGTGGCTGAGCCCCCAGAGAGCTCCAGGTTACCGTAATGTTCCCCAAACTAGCCCATATACAGCAGGCAAGCATCTCCTGCAGGCCTTTAAGTAGACTCGCTTGGCCAAGGCAGATTAATTCAGGACCAAAAGAGGTGTAGCTGGAGAGCTTCTTTCTAACTCAGAGGGCAAGGCAAGTAAGCAACGGGCTGCTAAAGCCTTGATTTGCCTTCATCGCCCTTTGTCCCTGGAATCCTTTTTGGAACCCTCTGTGCTCCACAGAAACACTGGGATGAGCCAGGGAAGAGCCTCAGCCCACGCTGCTGCCCTGGGAAGGGTGGGCGTCCCTCACGGGCAAGATAAGGCCGGCAGATGTCTTGGGGATGTAACCTCCTACGTATCTGCAAGAATAAGCATAAGGCACCGGAAAGGACAGATGGGGAAGAAGCCAGGGGAGATGGGAATAGGAGGTGAAGAGGTGGGAAAGCCCTACATGGGGGCGAAGAAAAGGTGTGATACATACAGGGGAAGATGAAACGCTGCAGCAGGAAGGCAAGCGTCAGCACGTCTGGTTTCCAGTGTGACTCAGCAGCTGTAGAAAAGGACAGAGCTCTGCCCATCTACTCCAGACGTTTTCCCATGTGATCATGTTATCTGGTGAAGGCGCTCCTACATCACTGACCATTTTCTTCACACTGTGAGCCATGAGGACTCCAAAACAGGACCAAGGAAGATGAGAACCAGGCAGACTTACCTGATACCTTCGTATGAGTGCTTCATTCTTTTTCCGCAAAGCCAGGATTTTCTTATCAAGTTCAACATCTTTCTGCTCCTTCTTCCTTAGCACAGCATCATCCACAGTGGCATCCTGGGAATGGAAGGAGGAAAGGTTCTCTCAGTCATGGTCTCCCACCACCAAGATACAAGCCTGCACCTTCTGCTCAGACCAGCTGCGGGGTGGAGGCAGTGCTCCTTGGACCTCCATAAAAAGGATGCTGACTCTTGTAAGTTGAATTCTTCCTGACAGAACTGATCTGTTTTTACAGTTTTTGTTCAGCAATGAGGTAATTAGAGTGAAAAAATGGTGGTTAACTTTGTTGGCCATCAGTAGGCTCCAGAATTAACATACTTTTTAGCTGCAAGAAGTAGGTGACACCCCTCCCTATGGTTGTTTCACGTGTTCTCAGGCACATCCAGCACCCTCCATTTGCATTCAGAGAACACCTTGGTAACCACAGAGGATAACGACCCTGATTTTTTTAAATTCTAGTGACAGCTATGTCTAGAGAAAATTAATGCTGATGGGTATCAGCTCACTGTAGCACATTGACTCGTATTGCCTAGAGTCTGCTCGGTGCTTGCGTGAAGAGCAAGGTGGCAAGGCTGAGATCTCCTAGGTGCTACAGGTTTATTTTTAAATGGTGTTTTTGTGCTCCTTATCAGCACAGCATCTGCATGCTGCAGAGATCTCATATTCCCTGCTCTCTGCTCACACCAAGATCTGGGTAAGATAAAACAAGGCTGGGGAGCAGGGGAAAGAAAACGCTAGGTCCATGGGCATGCACTACATGCCTGGATATCTGTTTTGCTGCCACTGCAACTAAGACCCCCTACCAGGCTGTCCCCAGCCCTCCTGCTTTGCTGTTTAGTCCTGTGCAGAAAATCTGCCGTACAAGCATCGCACCCAAACTAAGTTGCTATTTGTAGGGAAATTTTGGGGAAACTGAGAAGCAAATATAACAAAACTGCCACACATCTCGCTATAATTAGATGTTGCTTCTGTGGGCGACTCTCATGGTTGCGAGCCTGTGAAGCGCAAACAGCCAGCGCGTGGCAGAGAGGCATGCTGGCAGTCCCTAAGGCTGGCGCACCACCAAGCCCACCGTAGACCTGCAGGCACCCCAGGCGAAACCTTCCTGAGGACTCGCACTGTCCCTGCAGAGCACTGCGGCTCCAGGACTGCCTGAATGGTGATCCCAGTCCCAGGAGCCCCTCCTGGCCCCATCCTTGCTCCGGGCCTGCCATAGCCTCCCAGGCTGCTATCAGACCCTGCTCCGGGCACCTCAGCTCAGGGCAAGGCCCCATGTCCCCCTAAAGCATCCCCCACAGCATACATGGGGGATGGCACATCCAAGTGGGAATTTTGCAGATGAATGCTTTTGCTTTTTTCACTGCCATCAAGCACAGTCCTCCTCAAGCTGAGCAAATGTGCTGTGAGAAACCCAAGGCTTGAAGGCAAAGGGAGTAAAACCACATGGGAGCCTGGTGCTGTAGCCCAGGGAAGGGAAAGCCTTTGACCCTACTCTGTGTTCCCAGCTGCGTTTGTTCACTTTATCCAGTGACTTACAGAGGGCTCCTGAAGACATATGGGTCTACAGCATGCCCATACGTCAAATGAGGCAGAACTTGAGTGCTGTGGACCCGGCCCTTGATGTCTTGTATCTCATGCAGTGGAGCTATTAATATTTTCCTGGGATGGGAAGTGCACAGAAATATCCTGCCCATTTGAAAGAGCAGGATTTTAAATGAGCTCCGAGAATTACCTCTTTGTAGGCACTGATAGTACCAGAAGGTTTTCAGCTACCTGGGAGATGGATGCCCAGTAAGAACATGGGCATATTTGATCCACTGGCTCTTTGCAGGAGCCATGGTGCGATTTTGTTCTGTATTTGTGGAGCACCTAGTGCAATAGGCCAGCATTAGCCTGGGCTTCTGGGTGCCTACAGCAACGCAAAAAAATAATACTAGGGGAAGTCAGCCAGAGGTTAGCATCATTGCTCTTCCAAAAGTGTCATGGGGCTCCCGGGAGCTAGGACTGCAAATCATCTGCATGGCCTAGCCTTCAAGGGATAAGATCCAGCTGCTGAATCACCGCACCTCCCTGCAGTGCTAGGTATTCCTTGCAATGGCCTCACATTAAAAACAGTGCTGGCTACATTTCAGCTCTGAGCAGGCAGATCTCGGCCTCCTGTGGACCTTTACCGCCAAGAACGGGGCTGCAGATGGAGGGAGAAGTCTGCCTGCATAATGGTCTTTGGAGAAAGGGGTAAAGGTTGCAAGTGGTACGCCATCAAGGAGAAGGAGGTGGGCAGGATGTGGATGCTATGAGAAACCAGAGAGGGGAAAACCAGCAGAATCGGTTTGCTAAAACAGGCCTCATCCTGCATAAGCGCATCTTCATTCCTGTCACCACCAACCACCGGTCAACAGAGGGATATTTTATCAACATCGACTGAACAACCCTTGCCGAGGGCCATGCTGCAGGGATACATGAGCACATTCACGTTCGGGTGGAAGGCAACGGCCGTTTAAAGCACCTCTCCAAATTCTCCTGCTGGACAATGGGATTTTGTTCGGGTTTGCGGGCGAATGAAACCTGTTTTCCCTTGCTGTCCGTCATCCGGCGACACAACAGGTGACTAGATTGTCTAAGTGGGTGGATCCGCTTTCAGGGCCATTTTGCAGGGCTGATTAAAGCTGAATCCAGCATGTACCTGAGCAGCAGCTATTCCGTGAGCGCTAAATTGGCAGGTTCGGCGTTCGCTGAGTGCCGGGGTGTTGGCTGCTTGGGACGGTGGGATCAAAGCGGTGCTCGCCCTCAAACGCACCCCTTTCATCTTCAAACCCCTTTGAACACAGACTGACAAGAGCCGCCTGCCCAGGCAGAATGTAAAAATTCCTGCACCGACTGTATTTGCGCTCTTCCCTTTGCAGAATGGGAAAGATGGAAAAGACCCGCCAGGGCCATTCTCCCTCTCTGTGCGAGCCAGCACATTTGTCAGCGTGTTGTCCACAATTGCAACAGGGCAAGTTTGGGGGGGGG